CACTTTACACATTTTGTAGTGCTTCATTGTTCATAAAGACTATTTACAGAGAAATCTGAGGGTGTATCCAGATTTCGCCAACTATTGTAACCTGTTTATTGTCTTGAAGAAGTAACAAGGTCATAGAAAACATCAAGTATGCATTATTCTAGACTCCAGTTGCTACTGTTAAATTTGATGGAACAAACTATTTGGAATGGGCCAAATCTTTAAGGTTATTTTTTAGGGGGTGGAAAAGAGTTGGACAGTATTGATTGTCATCTAGCGAAACCAGACTAAGGAAACATCTTTTGCACGTTGGAAAGCCGATGAAATTATTGCTACGAACTCAATTTTACGATCCAAGCAACCAAACTCACATTTATGAATTGTAATACTTCAAGGGAGTTAACAAATCAGCAATTTTAGAGAAAAAGATTTATCAGTTGGAGATTATTATGCTGGTCTACAAGGTTTTGGAGATGACCTGAATAAACACCAGCCCATAAACTGCTCTCAATGTACAAAAGAGCAGAGATGGTGTAATAAAAGAAAATATTTGATCCTTAGGGGGCACTACTCCTGAATATGAAAATATCTACTCTAATGTTCCAGGGGGTGAAACTCTACCATCACTTGGAACAATGTTTCCCTTCTCCAATGTAAAGAATTCGCCGGAAAGTAATAGTTGTATTCACTAGTGGATAGAGACAATCTGCCCTTGTTTCCAACTCTTCGACAATTGTGGTGGTCGCCATGGTGGTGGTTGAGGTGGAAGCTGTAAGGGTGGTTGCAGAGGCCTCACACATGATGAAAAGATAAGCTAAAATGTCCGCATTCTGGAAAATGTCAACAAACTAAGGAGACATATTGGGATCTCATTGGATGCCTTAATTGCAATATAACTTCGCTTATGCAGCTGCGACTAGTATGGAGACTAGTTGTATCGTGTCTCAACAGCAAGATGCTACTGGTCATCTACTTCGTGACTATACATCTTCTATGCTTGAGGTAGAACTGGTGAGAGTTTCCAAGCAAGAGCTTCTTGATCTTAAACAACGTGCCTCCAGTTATGATGAGCCGTCTTATTCCTCTAAGTGGCATCTTGCCCAATCATGTACATCAGCATCTGCACATCATGTTTACATGACTCGTCAAGCTCCTTGGATCATTAATTCAGAAGCCACTGAACAAATGACTATTATGCTCAAATCTCTTTTCTACTTATGCTACCTGTTTCAAACAAGAATCTATCATGATTGCTGATGGGTCCTTTTACCAAATAAAGGGGAAGGGATTGATCCAATAACTTTCAACAAATTTGTTGTCCACTTGTATGTTCCTAAGCTGTCCAACAATCTTCTACCTGCTAGTACTCTCACAAAAAATTATGGCGTTCCTTCCATCTCAATGTATTTTTCAGTACTTGGTGAAGGGAAGACATTTGGCTGCAGCCATGAGGATGGAAGGCTGTACCTTCCAGGCACACCAAAACAAGCTCCTACAAAAACTCAAACCAATGTCATGTCCTTGACTGTCAATAAAGAATGGGTGTATTTGTGGCACACTTGCTTGGTCATGTTCCACTTTCCGTAGTGTTCTTTGTTCCCTAAGACTTTTCCATCGTTGGGTCAAGTTCAATTACAATGTGAGATTTGACTGTTATTAAAATATTGTAGAACTTTATTTCTTATTGATAATAATTAAAAAGTGATACTCCGCGCTCTATTACACATTCTGAGGTTTAGGAACCTTCTTTAGTTGTTTCGATGTTTAGTTTTCGATCTTTGTTACTTTTGTGGATGATTGCACTAGTTTAACCACATTCGTGAATATGTTTCTAATCATCTCAAAATTATCCAAGGATGAGGAAATAGAGTTCCAAACAATGTCCTTACACTCCTCAGCAAAATAGAGTCGATGAGAGAAAAAATCATAGTCACCCGGGGGAGAGACAACAAAGCTCTGGGATAGGGAGCTGAAGAGCGGAGCTCGAAGATGTGAAGTTCTATGGTCAAGGGAACGAGTTCAATACATGGCCAAATGTAGGGATCGAGATCCCTGACAAGGAATCGAGTTCCATATCTGCAAAGGAGCAGATCCCTTGCGGGATGGGATCGCGTTCCACCGTGTTAGGATCACGGTCCCTGAAATTCAATTATCCACAACATTGTAATCTAGGAGCAGGTTCTTTTTAACAGCTTCAAATTAAATGTATTAATTTAGAATTTGGAAAATTTTCATTAATATCTTCTTTTTCTATGCGATGCTTAGAAAATGCCTCACCTTTTGTATTTTACGTCGATGACCCTTTTTGTAAACTTATTTGTTCTCTCCAAAATGCTCCTGTATCGGAGCTTGGAGTTCTGACCTGGAATTTTTTGCCAAAACAAAAAAAAGTCAGGACATTGAACTTTGATTCAGTCTTAAAAACTTGTAGTTTACGAATGTTGTGATCGATTGTTTCCAAAAAATAAATGCAGTCGGTAGCTAAGTTCTCCGTGTCAAAACAAGAAAAAGGTAAGACATTGCCAAATAAAATTCCCAATAGCTCTCTTCCATCAAAGATTGCTAGGGGCTCAATGACCGATGCACGAGAGAGACCTCACAGTTCCAGGAATACATGTTATTCCATCACCCACAAGGCAACCCCGTGTGTAGAGCGATTTAGTTAGCAAACAAATGTGGCAATAGAAGCCCTTCGGGAGGTGACAAGACCCCAATGAAATAGCCCCAAGAAAGTTTAGCATATTTTCATCACCTCATTCCTCAATAAAACCATAACTTGCTATCCTTTCCATTTCATCGTAACTTCTTACTTATCCTCCTTGACCTCTCTTGTTGCCTTTTTTTGAAACTAGACAAGTAACAATTCCACAAGGTGTGTAAAGTTGTGACCTTTAAAATATTTAGGAAATCATGGCATTTTGAAATTTTTTAGGTCATAAAGAAATGGAGATCCACAATCCATTTTATATGAACCAAAAAAATGTGTTGTTCAATCTCACACCCAAAGCATAGGATACTCAATTCCATTTTGGTGGAATTGCGGTTCCACTTACTCATGAAACAATGATTTTTGGTAATAAGGATCTAAGTCCCATTAAAATAGGATCAAGATCTCTAATTTCTTGGATCAAGATACTTAATATCAAGGAATCCCCCAGAATTGAGATCTTGTGTTTCGGAGTACCAAAACGATATCTAGAAGCAAAAGTGACCCCTCCTTAAACGGTAACCATGACCTGGGCATTTCCATCTTTATCACATGATTAGGAGAAACTTAATTTCATGGAAAGGTAAAAACAAAATATAATGGAGCATGTGAAATTATACTGAAGTCGAATACAAGGCCATAGTACATGGAGCATGTGAAATTATGCGGGTCAAAACTATACTGACTTAAAGTTCAGTTACCAATGACCCTTCATTACCACTAGTTCTATTTCTTATACTATAAATCCCATTGTCAAAAAATATAATCACCAAATCAAGTACTGACGTTGAATACAAGGCCATAGTACATGGAGCATGTGAAATTATGTGGGTCAATACTATACTGACTTAAAGTTCAGTTACCAATGACCCTTCATTGTGATAATGAAGCAGTCATCCACACCGCTGAGAATCCTATATTTCATAAGAGAACAAAACATATCGAAGTGGACTATCACTTCAAAAGGGAGAAAGTTGCGGCTAGAATTATTTGTACTCCCTCAAGTGAAATTGAGAGACCAACTAGGGGACATCTTCACAAAAGCAGTTGCACGCGATGGACCACAAGTAGTCATCCAACTTGGCATAATTGATATCTATGCTCCAACTTGAGAGGGAGTGTTGAAAGTGCAATGGCAAGTTAGGGGCATAAATTAGAGGACATTGTGTAATAAGGATACGTATGAGTTTAGGAATCAGCTTGGGTCAAGACAGTATCAGCTGGGTTTTCATAGCACTACATCTCAAGTTCCATTCCCATGTAACCTTGTCAAAAAAAAAAAAAAAGAGGATATATATGAGTTACTGATTTAAAGAGGGTATGTCCTGTAATTCTTACGCATTGATAATATACATGAGGCACTAACTTCTAGGGTTTCAAGCCACGCTTTGATCCTTCATTCTCCCATGCCCATCTCTCTTCTCTTTCTACATCTTCTTCCTTCTTCATTTCTTCTCTTCTTGTCCCTCTCATATTCTTACCCAGGAATCACAGATTAACCGAGATTTAGGTTATGCTTTCAACAAGATCTATGTTATGCATTCAACTAGAAATCCTAGGAGGTGACATTAGGAAACAAATCAGTTTTGTGGCTTTTATCTGCAACGTACAGACATATTCAAGTCTTCATCCTTTTTGTAGCAGCAATTTTTCTTGGTGCAACGTACACTGCAGAGTTATTTTATGAAGCAGAGTTATTTTATTAGAAGATGCCCTGCTTGTTATCTTCGTCCTTTATGTAGCAGAGTTATTTTATTAGAAGATGCCCTGCTTGTTTTCTGCTGTAAACTGCAGAAAACGTTTTGAAGTTTGTAGCTTGGATCACCTACACTCTGGGCACCTATAAGGCATGGAGAAGCTAAGGTATGTCCAAGTGTGCACATACACAGCCGCATGAGTCAAAGAATCTACGAATACCAAGCATGATAGGTTGTGGGGAATATGGATGGATGGATGGATGAGTTAGGTTCGCTAGATGTCATCTATCCCTAGTTGAACCCCTGCCAACACATCAACACTCTCCAGGCATCATACATGCATACAGAAGATCACATGTTTTAAATGTCAACATTTAGGGTACAAAGGGTCAGTAGCAAAGTAAACAAAATGCAACAACTAAAAAGCAACAAAACACAAAATGGAAAAGAGCTTGGGTAAGTAATTCGGTCACAACCATAAAATTTACAATTGAAAAATCTCATGCATATTTTCAATGCAAATTCAACTTTAAAGAAAAGGCACCCAGAAAAGGAAAAAAAACAATAAGAAACAGAGCAGCTTACACTTGATGAAAAAACAGGCTCACCGGGTAATGGAAGGGCTGGACTGTCGACAAATCACCTGGGTTCTGATCTGCAGGAATCGTGAAACCAAATGCACCAAGTTTCCAAGCTCCATTAGAAGTGATAAAGACTGCCTGCTTGTAGAGAAGAAAGGGAATGCAAGAAATGATGCTAATCAATGGAAACCAGGGCAAAATCTAAGCAATTAACCAGTGAATATGAAATAACAAAGACCGTTGTGTTTAATATCATTTTATCGGTATTTATGGGCACATAGATGATAAGAAGTCAGAATTAGTGAAGAGAATAGTTTTCCAAGCAACACAGCCAAACAGAAAAATTTTATCACCATTCCTGTTCAATCAACTCTTAAGCATCACAACCGCTACAAATGCAATAGCATTCATACAGAACCAGTACTAGAGAACATGATGAACTGCATCATTATGCACCTGGTGAACTAAAGCAGCAGCATAGAAGCTACCATAATTTTTGTTTCTTTGACAAGTAATAAAAAGTAGAATAAAGTATTTACTTCATTCTGCAGGACAACAAAAGACTAAAATAGAAGTAAGGTAAGCAATCAAATCAGGATGGATCATGGAAGGCATATCACTTACCCATCAAAATTCTATGCAACAGCAGAAGAAAGCAAACATACCATTACACTCTTACGGAGATATGTACAGAACTAAGCAGACAAAACTCATGGAAAAACAAAAAACTTTACCATGTTTACCATATTTTGATTCACATGAAACTTGATCCTATAATCCTAGAGACTGCAGCCTGAGTGATTAAGAAAGAATGTCATAGAACACTAGAAAGAGTCACATGAGCACTCCTCAAACAAGAAAAGAACAAAAGCGTCCTAAATTTTTTATTTCCAATAACATGGGGCTCACTAAAGCTAAATGCCACTTTCTTCAGATAAATATTGTGTGCACTTCAGATAACATGATCCAGGTCATAAGGAGTAAAATTTTAGTCAGTTATTACAGCATAATGAAGAACTCAAGTGAATTTTGAGTGATACACAATCAACATTGTCTCTTTCCACACTGTAACTGATCCATAAGTGGCTATACTGCTACTTGAATCTCAAATTTAATCCCTTACTATGTTGGTGTGTGCAAGGAGTTAATCCCTTACTATGTTGGTGTGTGCAAGAAATAAAACAACCATAAAAGTAACAGAGAGAGAGAGTCCTTTTTTTCTGGTAAAAATTCTAATTTTGGGGAAACAAATAAATAGCCAACTTTCTGTGATATCAAAAGCAGGTGGACTTCTCTTCAATGGCTTCTTCTTCCCTTCCTTTCTTCCCCATCTCTTCTTTCTAAGTTGAGAATGACAGAGCATTCTAGGTCCCATATAGAGTCTGTTCTAAACATGGCACTTATGACACACTGCTCTAAATCACATAGAGCGCACTCATATGACCTGTTTCACCCATGGAGCCCATTAGTCGACCAAATTGCACTCCCACTCAATACCAGGTGTGTACACTTTAATCATGGGTACTCCATATGGGTAACAGACAAGGTAAGGCCACAACACCTATTGTTTTCAACTTTATATTCTTTTATATTTGTCAGCATTGCAATATGTACCTACTGGTCCATCAAACATTTTGACTATTAGTAGTTTCCCAAATCAATTAATTGCAAAACACTCTTTCCATGCAATGTGTCTTTTCACCACCCAAAAACCAGGGGAGGTGGTGAAGGTCACGAATCCAACAAGCAATGTCATTTATATCCAGGAGGAGCTTCCATGGCCACAGATCACTCCCAATACAAGAACATCAAAGAGGATGTATACATGCCGCACTCACAACTTGAACATCCATATAAAATTGTCATAAGCTCATCCATTGCTTCTTCTCCAGGTATATTTATATATGTTGAACACCAAAACTTCAAGGGCAAGATATTTCAGTTGTTCAAATGCAACACATCTATTTATCTATTTACCAATTAAGAGTTGAAATAACACTCTTGTTTGCAATCACTTTTAATGCTTACGGACTCACAACTGTTGTTTCTGTATGTCAATTTGCTACTTCATCTCCTGTATTGACAATTATTCAAAGGTAACCAGGATTTATCTTCTGAAGTCTAATAAGAATATTAAAATGCCTGACTCAATTTGATGGGTGTAAAAATAGTGTACTCAATAATGTTACAGAGCATGTTACCAGCATCTTCTTCGTACATGGAGGATAATGTGATCTCTCAAAAATCCTCATACGGCATGAGAAAAAAGAACGCCAATCATTGGTTGTAAGTCAATTGCTCTATTTTGCTCTCTGCTAAGGTAAGTTTTATCAGTCTGCAGCAAATATCACCACTTTATCAGTCTGCAGCAAATATCACCAATTGCTACATTAACAGGTTAACATCCTTCGCACATTCTAAGGGATTTGGACATTCTTTTAGGCTATAATTCTTGAGCATTAGATAGGTAACGTACACTAGACCAAAAGGCGATCATATATGTGTTCATTGGTTATTTTCCTTCCAGAAGTGGTACAAATGCTTTGATCCTAAAGCTAACGAAAGATATGTATTGCATGATGCCACCTTTGGAAATCCGACCTAATAATTGGATTCTGGATAAATTATGATTGTAACTGGAGAGGAGAATCAATATGTCCAGACAACCATTTGAAAACAAATAAAACACTTGATAGATGAGGTCTAGAGATTGCTGGATCAACTGCTGCTCCAAAAGACTACACCATAGAGAGGTTCTGCCAGGTCCTGGGTGGAGAAATGTGATGGAGAAAGACATTAAAGCCTCAAGCTCTGCGTGTGAGTGTAAGTGCCGTACAAAGTGGGTATATATGCACACAGTTTGGTGCCCAGATTCTAGCCACTGATATATACAGTGTTTCACTAAGAAATACTTCCCTTTTTTTCAAAAAAACATCCTGCCTCTGTAATTGGTAATCCCACATTGTATGGGAGCAAAACCACCTGTGAAGAGGCTTAGATCAGCACATCCAGACACAACTTTGGAGAAAAAAGGACCTAGGACATGGTCCACCTACCAAAAGGAAAGAATCCGATCACAAGTGCATGTATGCTTTGACATTCATATTTTATACTCAATAGTTCACACAAATGAATGCAGTATGCTACTGTTGCAGTTGTATCAAATATCACCAATACGATGTTACAAAAAAGCCTTAAGAAGAAAGCATTGAATGGAATAGCTCAAGAAAGGGGTAACATGTGGCTTTTAGAGGGTCATTACAATGAGATATTGGGCATAAGAGTTCTAGCATCATCAAACATGAGAGTTGTGACATCATTTAGTGACTCATGCAAAAGGAAGCATCCATAATTACTCAAAAAGGGAAAGAAGCAAATGTTATTACATACAGCAGTTAATTCCATGAATGGCACCACAGTACTTTTACTCAAATGCAAGTCTTTGCATCTTCTATGGGCTTATGACCCTCTTAGTACACTTTATAGGTTTGTCTATCTATATTTCTAATCAATATGGAAGAAAAGCTTAAATTTAAACCAAGGCAAATATGTGACTTGACAATACTTGTCATGAAAAATTGATTCAGTAAAATGGAGGTAAAAAAAATTAAATTTTACAGCTTCCCTAAATCAATAAACTCCCATTTAACTTCTTATTTTAGATAAGGCCAACTAATAAACCAATTTCTTAGGCAAATAAAAGCCTACCTAAATTAGGCATACTTACACACAGATGCATTGCATGCAAATATAAATAATACATGTAAGCATACATACATTAAATACATACACAGAGATGTAGAAAGAGAGAGAGATAACAAAGGAATGCAACAAACTCGAATGCTAATAAAAAATGCAATCAGTTCACAATGACAAAAACTTAACCAGCCATTCCACAACAGTATTGATTGAACAAATTGATAAATAATGGGAAATGAACACAAATAAATGGGAAATGAACACAAATAAGAAAACGGTATAACCTCAGGGGATATGGCCCGGTGAATAAGCCTTGCATTATTGTGGAGAAAATCTATGGACTCCGTAATTTGAAGTAACCCATGTTTAATCTCTAAGACACCCATTTCCTGCATAAAATTCAGAATTTCATTAGTTAGCCATGAAAATAGATATTTAGAAGGTTAAAAAGCAGCATGTGCGACACCAATTCTTCAAATCAACTAGTGAAAGCACTAGATATTTACAGATAATGAAAATATAAAATCAATGTCAAGATCCTACACGTGCAGGTCTATGCATGTATCTGTGCATGCACATGCATGGTCTTTTAAACTTTTGGAAGGAAGTCTATCTTGTTTTCAGGAATGACCAAATCCATTTATCATCACTGCATCTCATATGTACATATCTCACATTTGGGATATTTTGAGTTGATGGCACCAACCGACACACGTGGTCTAAAAGGCTTTTGTAAAGTTTATATTTCCTTTCTTCTTTATTTGTGGTTATTATACTTAAATTTTTTATGTATCCTCTTGATTGTTTTTATTTGTAATTTTTTTTTAAGTATTTTTATTCATGACTTTTGATGAGTATTTTCAGCTATGATAAAAATAAAATAATTTTCGTTAGAACTTTCTGGTCTCTTTGCCCATTAACTTTATGGGTACTACAGGTTTTATAACAAGATGCCTAGGCATTCAACAATGTGTCCAGTAACTTATATTGTGCACATAGAAGCTCATATGTACGCTTGTGCACATAGAAGCTCATACTTTGTCTATGTCTATACTCAGAGACCCACATGCTTGTGTGCGTGAATGTTTATACACACACACATACATGAATAGAATTTACATAGTCATACATTTGTGTGAGTACAAGTTCGCGCACACCCAATCTAATTGACGGGAACCTATTTGAGAGCCTTCTAGGTAACTTAGGAAAATCCAGTTTAATGTGACTAAATGCTACACAGACTACAATAAACCAGCCTGTAGAAACAGATCCAGCCCCTTTTCCTGCTATCCTATCAACCAATGTAATCAAAATCAGAAAGCCATGAAACCAATAAGGGGTCTAGTCCAATTAAAACCGGTCCAGCCACTAGTCAAACTAATTGGACTGGATTTATAAAAAGAAATAACAGTAAATAGGAAGAATAGCTTACAAGTATGAATATATACAAAAAGAGTTGCCCAACCTTGTTCAACTAGTTCAACTGGCCAAAACCAGCTGGTCTGGCCTGAAGAAGCCAGTTAAACATTGGTCTTGACTGGTATTTGACTAAATTTTTTTCGTTTGGATCAAACCAGCAAAGGCACCAGTCGGCAATCTCAGCCGATTGGACCAGCCAATCCAGTCCGGTTTTTCTAACAATGTTCTCAACTACCAAAAATACAAAAAGTAGAAAGCTAGCAAGAACCAATATCCAACTTATCAAAGCAGCCTGTCAAACCAATTCAACCCTAATATTAAGCCCTTTCTCCTTTCCATGGCCAATGAGACATATTTACCAGACCCTAAAGGAAACGTGTCCCAAAACAATCAAGTCCGTTTGTCCTTTTCAATGTCCTCCCACTCCCAATCCTTGAAAAGCACGAAAAGAATGGACACACCCCTCTAGTCAAAGTTTTGAGAGCAGGAGTCAATAGATAATACCTATATATTCACATTTCCAACATGTTAATGAATATGCATCTCAATGAACTTCTCTAGTCATGCCAAAGAAAGCGATATCTATCATATTTGTTACAACAAAGATATATCCCATAATGTGAACACCTTTGCATGAATGCTCCTACCTATACATTGCCATGCAGTTTATCACCTTCTACAAGCAAGGGCACCAATGTCATTGCGCTCTCACTTCAATCCTAGAAGAGTAACATAAACCCTCTAGCCCAAGAAAAGACTAGAGATCTTGTTTTGCAATGTCTAAGGGGGATACCTACACCCACCATGGAAGTTTCACTCAAAGTTGATCAAAGTAGAGTTTCACGTAGCCTTCTGAGGATTGCTGATGGGTTTTGTGGCCTTTAAAGGCCTAGAGAGCTTGTAAAAATGATACTTATAATGAAATATACACTTCAGTGGTAGTGTGTGTTGACTGACTAAGGGTTGCGTGGTTTATGGCCATGGTCATGTCAAAAAAACCTTTGGCCCTGGGCATGTGGCGCTACCGAGAAGGGCTTGCGGTGGATCATCCCTTGTTGAGGTCGGAAAGATGTCCAGGGATCACTTTTGTAGGCCAGAAGAATTGTGTGGTCTCCTGTGTGCGGTTCTAGGCCTGTGTGAGCAAGGGTCAAAGCCTCAACATACTTATGCATAGCATGTACATATGACAGCCGCATGAGAAGCACCCCTTTTACAGGGGCACGTGTACATGTGCATTGAGAGAGCCCCATTTTGCACTGTAGTAACAAGTGCTAGACTTGCTCTTAAAGTGGGGAACTATAATCTACATTCTAGGATCATAGTCCCACTATTTTATTATCCAACTTTGACAAGTCAATCATGAGCCCCTACAAAGAGACTGTGGGTCATAGGACTTTCTTGAGTTGGATAAGAGAACATTTGGTTTCTGGGACGAGTGGAATGCCCTTAGTGTCGCTTATTTTGACCCATTGGTACCAGTTCACTCCTAGTATATTTTATTTTAGCATTATAAATGTTTCTTTTGTTTTTTAAATATTTTTCTGCATTTTAAAATATTGCTTCCACTGTAAATTTTCATAAAATGGTATTTCTCATAAATTTAAAACTAACAAATGTGGGACCAAGGATCCAGCCCCAAATGTGGCACTCCGTTCACCCTAGGGACCACACCCTATTTTTGTAAAGCAATATTTGGCACACCCTATTTTATTGTTGAAGGGGGTGACAAGCCACATATTCTTACAAGGCGTGTCGCGCCACATATTCTTACAAGGGGGGGGGGGGGGGGGGGGGCACATTGTTTTTTATGGGAAAAAAGGGGACTTTTTGTGGCACAATCCCCCCACGCCTTTTTTTTGGTAAAGGGTAGCATATGGGCCAGCAATTTTCCATTTCAAATCTTTCAAGAATTTTGTTGCAATATGTCTCTTGAGATAGTTAAATTATTCTCTCTTCTGTTCCAGGTAATTTTGATCCCCAAAACATATGATGCTTCTCCAATATCCTTCATATCAAAATATTGTGACAAGAAAGCTTGTGTCCAATACGAGACTCATCGAATTACTGGCAATTAATATGTCATCCACATATAAAGAGATGAAGACTACGTCACTCCCACTGACCTTGACATACATACAATAGTCCTCTTGGTTAGGCACAAAACCAGCAGATGACAAAGTCTCCTAAAACTTAATGTACCACTGCCTTGAGGCTTGTTTAAGGCCATAAAGCGACTTATTAAGTTTACACACTAGGTTTTCTTTTCCCTTTTCTATGAAACCCTCTGGTTGTTTCATATAAATTTCTTCTTCTAATTCCCCATTCAGAAATGTTGTCTTAACATCCATTTGGTGGAGTTTGAAGTCGAAAGGCATGCCATGGCTATCAGGATTCTTATGGAAGGGAAGTTTGCTACAAGGGAGAAGGTCCCTTCATAATCTATTCCTTCTTTCTGGGTAAAGCCTTTAGCAACTAATTTGGCTTTATATTTTTCCAACTTCCCTTCTGATTTTAATTTCTTCTTATAAATCCACTTGCAGCCTATAGGTTTTCTCTCAGGAGGTAGTTTCACTGATTCCCACACATTGTTTTGTTTGATAGAGTTAAGTTCATCAATCATGGCTTCATCCCATTGGGTCTTTTCATGACAGGTTCTGGCTTCTTGGTAAGAACAGGGTTCATGTAACGATTCTTCTTCAATTCTCTCATAGTATTCTCCTAGGTAGGTGAAGAACTTAGGTTTTCTCCTAATTTGGTTACTTCTCCTAGGACAAGGTGGTTCAGGATCTATGACCTGACTTGTGTCTTTTCTATCTCATGAAACTTGGCTTGTTTCAGACAACCCCTGTGTTAGGATTATAAAAACAGTATCCCTTACCATGTGGTGGGTATCCTATGAAGATGGACTTAACAGTTTTAGGATCTAATTTTGTCCTATTTTGATAGGAAGAGCATCCCCACACTCTAAGGTGATCAAGGGATAGAGCACAACCAGTGAAAATCTCCTGAAGAATTAGTGGGACAGCTTTTGTGAGAGTTCGATTAAGGATATAGTTGGCTGTCAAGACAGCTTCTCCCTAGAAATCTAGGAAGAGTTAAGCATATCCCATCATACTCCTCACCATTTCCATCAGGGTCCTATTCCGTCTCTTAGCTACCCCATTTTGCTGAGGAGTGTATGGCATAGCATACTTATGTATAATACCATGCTCAATGCATAATGCTTTAATAAAGTCATGAGGAATATTCTCCACCTCTTTCAAATCTAATGACTTTAATTTTTTGGTTTGTTTGGGTCTCTACCTCAGCTTTAAACTCTTTGAACCGTTCTAAAGATTCAGACTTTTTACTTAAAAGATAGACATGACAAAACGGGAGTGATCATCTATAAATGTGATAAAGTACCTCTTGCGGCCCTTAGTGGCCACATTTATAGGTCCACAAATATCACTATGGACAACTTGTAATATGTCAATAGCTCTCTGAGCTTTCGAAAAGGATTTATTAACCAGCTTGCCTTGAACACATGATTCACAGACTTTGATTAAGTCTCCATTTAGATTACTCAATAATCCTTCTCTCTTTTAGGATTTATGTGTCCTAATCTCATGTGCTAAATATACGCATCATTATCATCATCATTATAACATGAGACATAAGAAATAGAATATTTTATTGCAACTAAAAAGAAGCCTTCTACAAGATGACTATTCATGACTAATTCCTCTCCATATTTCACCTCTACCTTATTACCAATAAAAATGGTGGAGTAGCCTGCTTTTACCAAATTTGCGACTGGAACCAAACTCTTCCTCATCTCAAGAGCATAAAGAGTTTTCTTTAAGACCATACTTCTGCCATTGTCAAGTTGGAGGATGAAATCTCTAATATCCAAAATTTCAGCCTTTTGATTTCCACACGTATAGATATAGTGATCCCCAAGGGCAACAGGCTGGAAATTTCTATATCC